CCATGATTCATTGTTCGTGCACAACACCCAGTGCTCCATGCAGAACGTGCCCTCCTCAATACCCACCACCAGGCCAACCCATCCTCCCACCCCCTGATGATTTCTTGTTCTCTCTGTCATTCGAAGGAGCTTTGGGCTCAGGATCTGAACAAAGTCCGTGAGCGGATGACTAAGTTTATCGACGACACCATGAGGGAAACTGCTGAGCCCTTCTTGTTTGTCGATGAGGTGAGTGGGCTCTTTGTCAACTTGGCTTGACTTTTTGATTCACATCTATGACCTCTGATGTTTTTCTGGTTCCCTCCGCTTGGAGGGCTTTGCTGTCATCTGCCCCCCCCAATTGACTCTGTTGGTTGAGAGCTGGTTCTCTTCTAGGTTCTGAAGTATAGCCTTCTGTTTTGCTCATCCTTCTCTACTGGGCTGTGTGTCCTGGGTGGGTTCTTTGCTTTCCCCGCCAGAGGACGTCTGCTGCCAGGGAGCGTCCAGCAATCACAAGCACAGTGACCAGATTTGAAGGTCGATGGGGTGAAGCAGCAGGGAGGTGGGGCTGAGAGGAGAACTGCAGTACTCCTGCCTCACGTAAGGCTGGTCCCAGGCAGCAGAGTATAGCCCCGTGCCACTCAATCTGATTTTTTTTTTTAAAGGAGTGAGTGAGGAATTGGGGTAGGAAATTTCCTACCTTTTCGATGTTAGGATACCGGTGATGTTCTTTTGCTTTAGGTTGGGTGGTTTGAGTACAAATATTCATGGTATTATTATGCCTTAAAACTTGCACGTGGGAGGCCTGTATGCTTGTATCAACTATTTTAGGCTACACGTTACAAAGGGAAGCGTTAACCCAGTTGAGTGAAAACATGCGTCCGTATATCCTGTTGCAATCTGAGCATTCTGCGTTACAAATTCGGGTACCTGAGGCCAGGAGACCTTATGAGTTCCCGTATCAGATCTGCCATCTCCCTGTGTTGGCCGAGACCAGAAAGATCCAGGCCCCACCCATCCTCATCATCCTCATGAGGATCTCGTCTCTGTGACTTTCCTAGTTCCTCACGTACCTGTTTTCGCGGGAGAACAGCATCTGGGATGAGAAGTACGACGTGGTGGACATGCAGGACATGAACAACCCCTTGTCCCATTACTGGATCTCCTCTTCGCATAACACGTGAGTTTCTCGGTGAGCCTGTGATGGGCCGGGCGGCTGAAGGGCGGGGTGGTGGGGTGCCAGTGCCCAGCTCTGGTGAAGCGTGTGGGAGCGGGCAGGGTGCAAGGCCACACTCCTCAGACTAGATTGTACAAAAGCTTCTGAAAGGGGCATGGGAATGCACCCAGCCCTTTCCCAGTTGGTATTTGCAACAATCACGTTTTTTTCTATGACCCTAAAAAGCAAGTTGGCAAAGCTGGTTTTCACGGACAGCTCTTAGTAGCCGCGGCAAAGCAACTGAATGAGTTATTGAGCTGATATTGAGTGTGTGCCCTGTGCTGGGCCCTGTGCTTGCAGGTGCTGGGGATACAGCAGGGAAGAGAGCAGGAGCAGCTCTGTCCTCATGTACTTGGAGGGGAAAAGGCCTCCTTTGCTTTGTTCTGTTTTGTGTTAAAGATTTATTTATCTGTTTTAGAGAGTGAGAGCGCAAGCCCATGAGCTGGGGGAGGGGCAGAGGGGGAGGGAGAGAGAGGGAGATAAGCAGACTCCCCGCCGAGTGTGGAGCCCCGTGCAGGGCCCGATCCCAGGACCCCAAGATCACAAGCTGAAATCAAGAGTAGCACACCCAACCGACTGAGCCCCGCCCCCAGGTACCCCAAAAGGCCTCCTTTGATTCAAGGATCAACAGGAGTTGATGAGAGAACAGGTGGTGAGGCAAGGAGGAACCACACGTGCAAAGGTCCAGGGGCAGGAGGAACTGAGGGGGATTGGACTGTAGAATCCAGGAGGGTGAGTGGCAGGAGAGGAGGGCAGCAGTTCTGCTTGAGTGGAACCGTTTAAATCATAGCAAAGGGCACTTGGCAGTAGGAGCCACTGATGGCTTTGAAACCAGAAAGCAACACACTCACGTTCACATTTTTGGAAGATTATCCTGATTGCAAAAGAGAGGGTAGACTGGAAGGGAGAAGTGAATGTTGCACTCAGGTTCCCCTATTTAGTCTGCTTGTAAGGTGAGAGGGTGAAAGTCTTGGGGCCTGGGCACCTGGCAGATTGGTACCTTCCCAAGTGTCACCACAGGCAGGAGTCAGAGAGACGGCATTTTGGAAGGTGACATCTTCTTGGGGGCAAATTGATTGCATGATTCTCTCTTTCCCACCATGTCCGTTGGCTTAGAGTGCTGAATCCTACCAAGTCTGGAGGATCGTGAAGGAATGTGAACTCTTAAAAGGGGTGGGGGGGTGCGGACATGGAGAGGAGGAAGGTGCATACAAATACGCATTTTTATGTCAGTTTTGGTGGACAGGGTTCAAGGCATAGTGAATTCCAGCAATAGTTCTTCAAGACCTGTGCCTGGCCTGGAGCCCTGATACCAAAATGGTGGCCCATCATTGGACTAAGGGCCTCCTAGTGGGCACCGTGGTGGTGGTGGGTGGGGTAGTAGGGTCATTAATTGATTGCCACATGTCAGTTTCACTCCTGATACCCTTTGACCAAGTTCTCCTCCAAAGAATACACAGTCTCGACTCTTGCCTAGGATCGCCAAGGTGGCTGTTGTCCACATCCTGCGATTTTGGCCTTGAGCCTAAAGCTCGTGACTGGTGTGGCCACATGATTGCTTGTGTCTGGCCCAGATCCTAACCATGGATCTTTTTTTTTTTCCAATTTTTTTTTTTTTTTATTCTTATGTTAATCCCCATACATTACATCATTAGTTCTAGATGAAGTATTCCATGATTCATTGTGCACAACACCCAGTGCTCCATGCAGAACGTGCCCTCCTCAATACCCACCACCAGGCCAACCCATCCTCCCACCCCCCTCCCCTCTAGAACCCTCAGTTTGTTTTTCAGAGTCCATCTTCTCTCATGGTTCGTCCTCCCCTCCGATTTCCCCCGCTTCATTCCTCCCCTCCCGCTACCTTCTTCTTCTTCTTTTTTTTTCTTAACATATCTTGCATTATTTGTCTCAGAGGTACAGATCTGAGACTCAACAGTCCTGCACAATTCACAGCGCTTAACAGAGCACGTACCTTCCCCAGTGTCTATCACCCAGTCACCCCATCCCTCCCACCCCACCCCCCACTCCAACAACCCTCAGTTTGTTTCCTGCAATTAAGAATTCCTCATATCAATGAGATCATATGATACATGTCTTTCTCTGTTTGACTTATTTCACTCAACATAATACCCTCCAGTTCCATCCACGTCGTTGCAAATGGCAAGATCTCATTCCTTTTGATGGCTGCATAATATTCCATTGTATATATATACCACATCTTCTTTATCCAGTCATCTGTCGATGGACATCTTGGCTCTTTCCACAGTTTGGCTATTGTGGACATTGCTGCTACTAACCATGGATCTTTTAGACAGGAAGGATTCAGGATGTTGGGCACTTGGGCTGAGAAGTTCCCCAGGATGCCCCAAGGTGCAGCCCTGCCCCCACATGGCCACTGCCTCCTCTCCCTCAGGTATCTCACCGGTGATCAGCTGCGGAGCGAGTCGTCCACGGAAGCATATATCCGCTGCCTACGGATGGGCTGTCGCTGCATTGAGCGTGAGTACCATTTTCCCGGTGGAGATGACACTTACGGTGAATTGAGGTCTGCCAAGTAGCTGCTCGATGCTTTTTGTTGTCTGAAAGGCCTGAGTCGTGGGGGTGAGTGGGACAGGCAAAGGGAGGACCCGGGTGCCCGTAGCATCTGGGGGTGGAGGACGTGGCCACCAAATGCTAGGCACCTTTCCCCAGAAGATTTCCCCCCAGGACAAGGTATGGTGTCAAGCCTGGCTGGGTTGGAGTCAGAAACCCTGAGGCAGGAAGAATGAAGGGGGAGAAATCGGAGGGGGAGATGAACCATGAGAGACTATGGACTCTGAGAAACAAACTGAGGGTTCTAGAGGGGAGGGGGTGGGGGGGATGGGTGAAATAGGTGATGGG